TTAACTAATGATTATATTTTAAGACGTAACTATTTTTATGTTCATATGCTCCAAAACACATACAACACGTCCTGTGCTGATTGAGGGATTTTTTTCTTTAATTAATTAATTTAGTTATTTATTTATTGGGGATACAAAGGAGAAGTGATAAACAAGTGCCAATAGAATACTGAATATGACAAGAGGGAGTTTAATTTGATATCATTGGAACAGATTTATTGAGGATTTAGACTGAATCATAGGGTGGGTAAAAATGGGTGAAGGTAGTTGGACATACTATTGATAAAAGAATATCTGTACGTAATCAAGTATATGTAACCTGGACTCCTCATTTATTTTCTCTCATTAAATTATTTGTCTATCGTATGTATATACACTATATGTTAATAGTAGTGCAGAAATTAAGTACGGTTTAAACCTTATTCTACTGTTTGAAAAAGTACAGCTTGGTCTAGTTCTAAATGGAGTAAATCGTAATTTATTTAAATATATGTGTACTCCCAAAATATGTAAACCTTAAATATCAACCTTGGTTTGTCCTATATTAAGAGAATAAGCTTGTAAAGATAAGGAATGAAATAGCTGAGATCCTACGAGCAAAAAGCCACGAACCTTGACGATCATATGTAGCATGCCCATTCAATGACTATAACTCATTTGAAAAAAACGATAGCCCGTAGTAAGAACTTACATTGTTTGGAAACTATGGATATAAGTTATACTCATTTGTAGTGTGATATATTTACAACATCAATGTAATTTAACCGTTTAATAATAGTAGGTCACTTGTTCATCTAGGTTATCAATTAATTTACCAATCCTTGTTAAATAGAGTTATCTGTTACTTACTTCTTAAGTTACTAGATATATATATTTTTATATCGTTCATGCATAGAATTTATAGCAACACTACATGAAATAAGGTTTTCAGTAACAATCGTCTATGGCGACTACTTTAGTCGCCAAAGTGCCTAGTCGCCACTATATGTTGTTGGCGTTTGAGAAGCAACCTTCTTAAATCTGTTTTGTAGCGTATTTGTTTACCTTTTGTGGTGAGTGAGGTCGTCACGAAAGCTAATTTGCTTTATTATTAACATTTATGACGACTAAACTCGCTGCAAACAGGGGCGATCGCAACTAAGTAGTACCGGGTTCATTAGTACGATCAATACTTTTGATGCAGAGTATAAATTTACGTATAAAAATCCATTAAAATTGAATAAATAGTAGATATGAATCCATAACTTAAAATACAATATGTTCAATGCTAAAAATCTAAATTGGGATGACGAAGGCTTTCATTCTTGCTATCCAAACACTATCAATCTTTCGCAAACCCTTTGAGCCGGTTACTCTTCTTTGATCAATGTGCCCTAATTATTTATGTATTTGGGGATTTGCCAAGGTATAAATTCATGGAAAAATATGTTGCTCAAGCCTGGAGTAAAGTGAATATACATGATTTGTACTTGCATGATGAAGGATACTACATAGCAAAGTTTGACACAATTGGGGATCTGAAGGATATTCTCTATGGAGGACACTATACCATTAATGGTAGACCAATTATTTTGAAACAATGGACACCAGAATTTGATATTAAGGCAGAGTTCCTGATGAAGATCCCGTTGTGGATTACTATCCCTAATTTGCCTATGAGCTACTAGGGTAACAAGACACTAAGCAAACTAGCAAGTGCCATTGGGAAACCACTATTTGCAGATAAATGTACCACCAAACAGACTCGTATCTCCTATGCTAGAATTTTGGTGGAAGCTAATGTGACAAAACAACTTCCAACTGAATTGACATTGCAAGAACCATCGGGGAAAAAGGTCCAGTTGCAGGTGGAATATGAATGGAAGCCACAGTATTATATAAATTGCATGAAGATAGGGCATGATTGTACAATGGGAAAGAAAATGCACAAAGAAGATCAGTACACAGTTAGGCAGGCACAGGGGAGAATTACCACAAGATGGCAAGTTAAAGGGCAGGGGCAACAGCAGCAAGCTGAGATAAATGGAGGAGTTAATAAACAAACTAGGCAGGATAAAGAGAAAGCAACTACAAGCAATGAAAATCCTGGAAACCAAAAGATGGCAATTGATAAAGGGAAAGCAAAAGAAATGCAGAATGTAGAACAAAGTGACGACTGGCCAGCCTTGGCTAGCAATACCAGAATGACATTGGAAAGAACAACAATAACTACAGCAAATGTATTTCAGATATTGCAGCAGGAAGAGGGAAGAATGGAGGAACCAAGGCCACCTGATTTAAGAGGTGGAATAATCACTCAACAATGACTTGGTTATTCTGGAACATTAGGGGTTTGAATAAGAGATATAAGCAAAAGAAAATAAAGCAGTACATTAGAGATAAACAAATCAAGCTGGCAGGTTTAGTTGAAACAAAAGTGAAAGAAAACAATGCAGGGAAGGTGATTAACAGAATAGTACCTGGATGGAATAAAATAACAAACTATGAGTATGCTGTGAATGGTAGGGTATGGATTCTATGGGATGAACAAGTATATATTGTCCAACCACTAGACAAATAAGACCAACTCCTCTATTGTTTAATAAAAGGGAAGCAGAATGGGATCCACTCTTATTGCACAGTGGTGTATGGACATAATGATGCAGATCAAAGGAAACAGTTATTGGGGCACATTAGAAAATTGGCACAGAATATCACAGGACCTTGGCTATTAGGGGGAGACTTCAATGCTATCCTCACTGTTCAAGACAGAATGTCCAAAGTACCAGTGAAGAATGCAGATATAAAGGACCTTGCTGAGCTATGTCAGGACATTGGCATTACAGAGATACCATGGAGAGGGGAGTATTTCACATGGACTAACAAACAGGAGGGTGATGATAAGGTGTGGAGCTGTATAGATAGGATATTTGGGAATGACTTATAGATGATGAACTACCGCCACCTAAGCACTGAGTATGGGGAACCTTATATCTCAGATCATAGTCTTATGACTATCAATATAAGGCAACCAAAGAAACTATACAAGAGCCCTTTCAGATTCTTTAATGTATGGGCAAGTCATCCTGAGTTTGAAAGGATAATAAGGGAGGAATGGAACAACAACAAATCAACAGGTAAGATGGTGAGCATTTGGGCAAAGCTGAAAAGGATGAAAAATCAATTTAGACTACTGAATGAAGCTGAGTTCAAAGGAGTAACTGGGAAGATAGCACAATCAAGACAAGCCATACACCACATTCAAATTCAGATGCAAAAAAACTATAGTAACCTGCTGCAAAGTCAAGAGAAAGAGTGGTTGCACAAGCTGAAAACATGGTCAATGGTGGAAGAGCAGATATTACAACAAAAAGCAAGAGCAACCTGGATCAAGTTAGGTGATTCCAACAACAAGTTTTTTTCTGCAATTATAAAGGAGAGGCAACAGAGAAAACAAATAGAGGAACTGCAAGCAATAGCAGGGGGCATCATAACAGCACAATCAGATATTAAGGAGGAAATTATAGCATTCTACAAAAGCTTAATGGGAACAAGAGCTCAGGTACTACCAGCTGTGGACAAGTTGATAATGAAAGAAGGACCAACTATAACACAACAACAACAGGAAGATCTAATTGCAGAAGTTACTAATCAAGAAATTGATCAAGCTCTGAAGGGAATAGGAGGTGATAAAGCTCCAGGCATAGATGGCTATAATGCAGAATTTTTCAAGAAAGCTTGGCCAATGATTAAAGAAGAAGTGTATGCTGCAGCGAAAGATTTTTTCACACAGGTGAGATGTTCCAAACAATCAACTGCACCACAATCACACTGCTACCAAAAGTGCCTAATCCGGTGACAATAAAAGACTTCAGACCCATTGCCTGATGCACAGTGCTATACAAGCTTATCTCCAAAGTTATAGCAGGAAGACTACAGAAGGTCATGCCTCATATCATCTCTGAAGCTCAAGCAGGTTTTATCCTAGGAAGGAAAATAGCTGATAATATCATCCTGGCTCATGAACTAGTGAAGGCTTATAACAGGAAGCAGATATCTCCTAGATGCATGCTGAAGGTTGACATGATGAAAGCATATGATTCAGTTGAATGGGTGTACTTGGATCAGTTGCTAAAATACCTATGTTTCCCAACAAAGTTCAATAACTGGGTGAGAGCATGTGTAACAACAGTGAGCTATTCAATCATGATAAATGGGGAGCTAACAAAGCCTTTTGATGCTGCTAAAAGACTCAGACAGGGTGATCCCATATCACCATTTCTATTTGCAATTGCAATGGAATACCTAAGTAGGCTACTCAAAGGGTTGAAGCATGTCCAAGAATACAAGTTTCATCCTAGATGTGGTAAGCTGAACATAAAACACATCAGCTTTGCAGATGATTTACTGATGTTTACTAGAGGTGATAGTAAGTCTGTCAATATTCTTCATACATGCTTTATGAAATTCTCTGCTACATCTGGTCTCCTAGCTAATCCCAACAAAAGTGCAATCTATTTTGGAGGAGTTGATCAAAGTACAAGACAGGAAATATTGCAGAACACTGGGTATTCAGCAGGGAAGTTGCCCTTCAAATATTTGGGCATACCACTGGACACAAAGAAATTATCAGCTATGCAATGGCAACCACTGATTGATAGAATAGTTGCAAGGATCTCATCTTGGACAGCAAAGAAATTATCCTATACAGGAATGGTGCAGTTAGTCCAATCAGTGATATTTGGTATCCAATCTTATTGGTCCCAAATATTCATATTGCCAGCTAAAGTGATCAAACTGATAGAATCATATTGCAAGAGTTATATTTGGTCTGGTTCTAATACAATCACAAAGAGAACTCTAATAGCCTGGGATAAAATGTGCTTACCTAAATCTGCTGGAGGGTATAATCTACTGAATCTCAGAATATGGAACAGAGCTGCTATTACCAGTATTTATTGGGATCTTGCACAAAAGAAGGATAAAATGGATCCACACCTACTACATAAAAGGGCAGGCTAATGGAAATGAACATTCCTCAACAGGCAAGCTGGATGGTGAGAAAGATAATGGATGCAAGAGAAGTGGCTCAGCAAGTACCTACGGCTCTTAACAAGAAAAGTAAAACCAAACAAATATACTTGGCCATTCTGGGAAACTATAGCAAGGTGGCATGGAGAGCCTTAATGTTCCACAATGAAGGTAGGCCCAAAGCAATATTCACTATGTGGATGCAATGCCATGAGAGACTTATGACAACAGATAGACTTGCAAACTGGGGTGTTCAAGTGAATACAAGATGCTGTTTATGTGATGGAGCAGATGAATCACATGATCACTTATTTGGTGAATGTAGTTTTACTAAAGCAGTTTGGGGAAAGCTCATGCAATGGATACAGAGTCAGATGAACCCAATGTATTCATATGCACAGATGATAACATGGATAGTAACACAAGCCAAAGGAAAATCGTGTAGAGCTAAAATACTGAAAATGGTGCATGCAGAACACATCCATGGGATATGGAGGGAGAGGAACAACAGAATATTTGAAAAGACAATGAGAACAACAGACCAAATTGCAAGGGAAATAGCATGTGTTTGTAACATTAGAGTCCAAGGAGAGATGAGGAAGAAGATGCAGCAGTTTATGTACTGAAAAAACATGTAACTCCAGCTTATTTTGTAATGCTCTATGTACTGCTCCTAGAATAGGATAGTATTAGATTTATGTAAAAACTAAGTGAGTCGAGGATGACTCTACTGCTTTGTAATTGCTTCTTTGGTGATTAATTAAAAACATAATTACAAACAAAAAAAAAATCTAAAAAAGTGAACCCATAAAACTTCAATCTTGGATCGGTTGGGCCACAAATAGTTAACAAATGCGCTACAAAATGAACTTAAGGTAGATCGCTGCTTAAACAATCGGCATAGGGTGGCGACAAGGTACTTATCTATCGTGACTAAAATCTTATTTCCTTTGTGTACTATNTATATATATATCACAAACAAATCGGAATAGTAGCTCATCTGGCATTATAGTAATTATCTAACAAAGAAAATCTAAAATCTTGATACACTATCTTTGTCAATATGGTAGCTGCAAATATGAAGACAAAAAAAGATGCAGGAAAACGGCTGCTTCTTTCTGAAGATTGATATATGCATAGAAAATACCGCAGCTTTGACACCCTTTTTATAGCCAAGCTCTCTGCATCCGTACTAATTCCCTCTTGAATTTACTTAATTTCCTCACCAAAAGCCAGCTAGCCAAAAATGGAGGAAAATTTACCTCCAGGGTTTAGGTTTCATCCCACTGATGAAGAATTAATCACTTATTATCTGACTAACAAAGTTTCTGATTTCAACTTCACTGCTAAAGCCATTGCTGATGTTGATCTTAATAAGTGTGAGCCTTGGGATCTTCCAGGTAGCTAATTTTTCTTCTCTTTTCCTTCCTCTTCTTCTACCCTTTATTGCATGGAGTATAATATAATTCTTCCTTTTTCGATTTTTTCTACACTTTAATTTTGTTTAATTTTATTACTGATTTGATTGAAAATTATATAGTCAAACATCTATCTAACAGCCTCGTTTGTTTCGGATATTTTTAGACGTTATAGCGAATTGATATTATAGAAAACATATATATTATAATAGAAAATGAGATTTGCGAAAAAATTTTATTTTTATAGATAAGTGCTATTATATAAGGATGTTGTTATAGAGAGGTATAACTGTATGCCGTGATCTTTGAAATTTCTTGAAAGTCAACACACATGGAATGCTATATATTCCCAAGAAGAAGTGATTTTGCACTCAACTAATTTACAAGTATCTATTACCATTAGTTTTTACTACTTAATTCAATGCTTAGAGAAGTATTTAGTCAAACGTTATGGTGTATTGCATGTTCATATATACTGAATTACCACCATTGCCTTTCAGCTTGTTTAGCTAGCGTTTGGACATAAATTTGGGTGAAAAGTGAAAAAAATAAGTTTTTAAAGATAAGATGAAAAATAATTTTTAAAAGTGGAAATTATGTTTGGACATGCATTTTACTTGAAAAGAATTTGGAGTTTTGTGAGTAGAAAACTTCAAAAACTATTCTAAAGTTATTTTTGGGATGTAAAGATTTTGAAACAAAATCTGTCAAAAGATGATCAAAATCTATAAACAAATATATATTTGAATTTTTTTTTTTTTTTTTTGAAAAACAGCTCCCGAATTTTTATGGTCAAACGGGAGCTAAGTGTTTTCTTGTTTACTTCCTATATATGTTGGCCAATGGCGTGTACAAGTAGACATGAAGAAAAAATATGAACTGTTGTTTTCTGATCAATGTGTTACAAAATAACATCAACTATGAATCAAAATTAATTCTAATGTTAGTTATGTTACCTATATTAAAAGTTTTACCTTGTATAAGTGAAGATTTACAATGAAAATTTACACCCTAATTAAATTAAATCTCGTACAGCCAAAGCTTCAATGGGAGAAAAAGAATGGTATTTCTTTAGCCTTAAAGATCGCAAGTATCCAACAGGTCTTCGTACAAACCGAGCTACAGAAGCAGGCTATTGGAAAACAACAGGCAAGGATAAGGAGATTTTTCGTGGCGGAGTCCTTGTTGGGATGAAGAAAACACTGGTTTTTTACAGAGGAAGAGCTCCTAAGGGTGAAAAAACCAACTGGGTTATGCATGAATATAGACTAGAAACCAAACTTGGTTTCAAACCTTCAAAGGTAATTATTCATTAATTAATCAGAATAATAGATTTAAGACAATATAGAATTTTTTTTACGCACTAGCATTATTTTATAAGGGAAGTTTACACAAATAGCTGGCCAAATTCAATAATATTTACATTTTCTAGCCGATATACATTGATTATACATAGTTATACATATATTATATATATATATATATATATATATATATTATATGTTTACTGATTATTTTTAGTTTAAGCAATTAGGTAACGGCTATATGAGTTAAATATTTTTTTTATATGACTGATCTCCTTTATTTTGAACAATTATTTGCATTTGTCTTTTAATTAGATGATTTAATAGTGTATAAATTCATTTAAGAAACAAGATAGAAGTTAATCTCCAAATAAAACAAATTTGGAATAAGAAAAGAAATACACTATGATATAGAGTGTTACCTTTTTTTTTCCTTCTTTGATTAGTATCATTTTTAAAAATATTGTAATTTCAACATGAATTTTTATGTACCAAACCACTGAACCTATTGGAATTGCAAAATTTTGAGTTCAATATGTGATATTTAATGAAAGTGTAGTAAATTTTCACATATATTTCTCAGCTATATATGAAAAATGTTGGCTTCATTTAATCCCCTATCTTATCATATACATCTGCCACTATTACAGTCGAAAATTATCTAGATATCTTTTAGGTGGCCTCACTGTGCATGTACGTAACATTTTACACTATAGTATATAAAAGTTAAACAAAAAAGTAGGTCCATTAATTTTGACTATAATATGTTATATAACACCATACTAATTCTTTTTTTCCAGGAGGAATGGGTGGTGTGTAGAGTTTTCCACAAGAATTCAACTGCAAAGAAACCACAGCCAACATCATCATCCCCACAATCCGAAGAGTCACCTAATTGTGACATGACTTACACTTTTGCAAATGAGCTAGGGGATATTGAGTCACCAAGTAATTTCTATGGCCTAGCCACTGCATCAAATGGCCATAATTGCAATAATATTTCTTTACAGAATTACAACAATGAGAACGTGTTGAATATGAACTTGAACATGAATTTGGCTACTGCTGCAACAAGAGAAGCAGCAATTAGCAACACTCTTCCATTATTGCCTGCAGCTTGGTCATCTAGCTTGCTTTGCTCAAATCTTCCCTCAGTGGATTCTTTGCTTCTTCGGGCGTTACAGTTTAGGGGTTATAATAATCAGCCAAGAGAAGTTACAACTACTAATACCAATAATTACCCGTTTATTCAAACACAAAATATTTCTCATATTGGGAATGATTATAATAACCCTAACTTGGCAGTCGAGGTGCCTTCTTCCTCTATGGTATCAGATCCTGTTCAGCAACAACAGCCACAGGAGCAATCGTACAAATTGGGTTCAAATATTTGGTAACTTTTTGTGACGACTTTTAGAGGTCGCCCTCAATAAGTTTCAGAAGAAGTCAAGACTCTATTTGGTGCTTTAGATATTTACTGTAAATTTCTCAAGTCCATATGTAGGTACAAATTAAAAGTTCATGAAATCCAAGTCAAAATCTTGATTCATGGTAATTTAGTGTAGTGATCAGGATCAACTCATGTGATTGACTAGGGAAAATCCCAAGTCTCTGTTGTATGTATCTTTTTATTCAATCTAGCTTCCACATTTGCATTTGTATAACACAATTATCTTTGATATGGGAAGACACAAAGATTGTTTTCTTTCATTGTTGGTCATCATATGATCTTGTTGTTTTTATTCTGCTTTTATATGGCTTTTTGGTGTTGTCCCTTCTTATCTGTATTTTTATTAATGTGGTGCTTATGCTTTCCTGAGTCGATGGTATATTCGAAACAGCCTCTTTATCCTCACAAAGTAGGGTAAGGTTTGTGTACGCACTACCTTCCCCAGACTCACGGTGTGAGATAATACTGAGTATGTTGTTGTTGTTGATGAGAAGACTACAATGAACTCCATATGATAATCATCACTCTTCAGTTACTTGCTTTTTAATTTCTTATCAGTCAAACAATGGCATTTTTGTTATTCAAACATGTAATCTATTTAAGATTTAAGAGAAAATTAACTTAAATAGCCCCCACCCCCCAAAAAAGAGCCAACGGATAAATATAGATATATAATGCATAATTTGACGAGGAAATGTAAATTTTTTTGATCTAGCGGCCAAATATGTAACTTTCCCATTATTTAACTTGGACAGAAACTAAAGGTTAGCTACTTATGCTAAATATACAATATACAAATAGTGAAAATATCTTACAATTGAGTTATATACTTAACTAATAAATCATTGCGTGATCATAACTTACGAGCTTCAACTCTGACAAATGAATAAACAAGCATAAGATGTTTTATATTATGTGATGTGATATCAAAGTACAAATACTCACTATTATAAATTAAGAAATACGTTCAATGATGAACTATTACAACAAAATACCAACCGCATTAAATAAGATGGTGTTCATTGAATTCCATTTGTCTGCTAATTAAGGATATAACTAATATTATTATGCGACACTAGTGTACTCTATTTAATTACCACATCTAATCATAGTTATGATTCAAATTAGAAATGAGTTTTGGTTTGTGATTGAACATGATTAAACTTCTTATATCGCAACTAATCTTCTTACTATACTCCAATTGATAGAACATGGAGACACCGTCAAATGTCAAATCTCTTTAAACCCATATGTATACTTTTTTTATTTATATTAATATGAAATGACGGGAGAAGTTGGGAGAAAATGGAAATAAAATGATGCTGCTGGGATATATATAAACCCATACAACGGAAAAGAAAGTAATTCTTGCAAATTGATGATAAATATTAACAGTGTTCAGAGGTTTGTGAATAATATAGTAATAAAAAGAAACCCATATTTTAATGATGTAAAATCTCATAGTAACTTTTTGCATGATCAGTTAGATAGTTTATGGAAGGAGCTGCATTAAGGACAGCTCAGTTGCCGTAGTAATAGCCAGGGCAGCTCAACAAGATTTGAGGCGTAAAGCAAAAATTTAATTGGAGGCCTTTGTTGAAACAAAACCTTCATATATATTTTTATTTAAAATTTATTTTTTTAGCTTTTGAGATGTAAAGTTATTAATAATTTTTTTTACAAACCATTTAATCACTCTTAGGATGTTGTTGATCTTAGGAAATAAAACTAGATTCAAAATGTTGATAACTTGATATCAAAATAATTATTTGATTTCAATATACTTGTTGTAATGCTTGAAACCCGCAGAGGAAAAAAAAATTAAGAATGTGCAATAAAGCATATTCAATAGTATTCTGTAGCTCTTGTTTTTTATTGGAAAAAAAATAATCTTTTTTTTTCACGAAACAATATAGCTTATCGAAAACTTAAATTTTTGCAGAAACCAAGAAAGAAAATATAAGAGTGTAGTCGTTATCTGATGAGAAATATAAAAAATGAGATTTGGACAATTAGAGATATTAAAATAGAGACTCTAAAAGTTCAATACACGTTTTCTAGTGAGAAATATAAAAAAAGAGAAAGATAATGTAGGTATTTTACTAATGATGTCAATTGTAAAATGTAAATACACAATTTTATATTCCGGGTAAGGGTTTTAGGGGAAGTAATTCTCTTTCTTCAATTTTTGCTCAAACAATTATATCAATAAGAAACTAAAAGTTGTCTTTACTTTTTATAAAAGAATTTACTTTTTTATTTTTAATACTCAATATTTCTAACAAAAAATATTAAATTATAAATTTATTATTGATAAAAATTTGGCTCCACCTCCAAGGATTGTGGTGAGATGGATATGATTTAACCTACTTTAATAAGATATTTCGAGTTTGAGTCCTATGGATGATATCATGTTAGAATGCGCTTCAATACAAATTCAAATTAGTTATGGCTTCAATACAAATACCGAATACAAGTAAATAAAAAAAAATGAAAAAAAAAATAAAGAATTTGGGGCCCCAAAATATTTGGGGCCCAAAGCAATTGCTTTAGCTGCTTGACCCTCTAACCGCCCCGGTAATAGCGTGAACTAGCGAATTTTCAATTCTATAATTGAAAATAGCCTGTGTCATATGTCATGTTTTTGCTGTAGAATCTGTATGATAATGTCCTGGAGTTTCATCAATAAAATATGAAACTCCATACAACAATTATTTTTTAGTTATAGTGGTGGAAAGTGGCTATTTTTGAATTTTATCCCCCGTTTGCCTAATGCTAATTACTTTCATAGCTTTGGGCCAAGGAGGCCCAAACAGAAAAGTAAAAAATTTGCGGGATATCTTATTTGGTCGCCCCTATTTAACTTATCAATATTTTAAATTTTTTTAGACAAGTTGCTCCTTCTTTTCTTGTCCTCCTCCTCCTCAATTGATGTGAAATCATAGGTGACAACAGGTTTACATGGTATTTGTGAATAAATTTTAAGGTAGTTTACGGTATTTTATGATAATGAGTTGCTTGGAGTAGATTTGGGTGTTGAATTATTAAAATTCGAAAAAAAAATTCTGTTTCTAAGCAATTTGTACTTTAGACTAAAACGTCATAAGTGCATGAAATATTGGATGCACTTTAGATTATAATGTCTTAAATACATCCTATGTGCAATCACTTCAAAATATTTTCACCCATATTTCACCCAATTCCCGTCTATTGCTATTTTCTTAGAAATTTGACTCCGCCATATCTGGCATATTTTAATTTATATTATTTAGTTATATAAAAGGTATAGTAATGGCATAACCCTGGTATATTTTATAATTAATTGCAATATTGAATTATATAAAAGGTATAATATGAAATAATTTTAATAGAATAACTCCATTATATATTTAAGGAATAATTCTAGAATATTGCATATTTAATTAGCAATATTTAATTGTATAAACGATATAATGATAATATTTTACATCAGAATACATAAGATTATAAATAAATCGCCCCCTCTAAATACAAAATACAAACATAGCTAACAAAAAAGTTGGCCTTATCATATTTGTTCCTTATACAAGGAACTTGTTCTTTGTCCAGCAAGTAAGGGCCCTTAGCATGACTAGGCAGCTGATAGTTAGAGTAGAAGTAAGCAGGTTGTTGATTGTTTACTGCTATTTTAGCCAAATAGTCCGCTAGTTGATTCGCCTCTCTATAGTAGTGACTAATCTGGATTTCAGAGATGTTGATTATCTCTATGATTGTAACGACCCGATCAGTCGTTTTGAGCATTTGCACTTCTCTCGGTTGTTTGATGACATGAGTAGCTTCGTATGGCGTATTATGACTTATGTGAATTGTCGGTTTTGATTTTTAGGTTATTCGGCATTCAAGTTGGAAGAATGATGCTCAGCTAGAAGCTTTAAATTTGAAAGGTTTGACCAAGTTTTAACTTTTTAGTATTTGAACTCGGATTGGAATTTCGATGGTTCCGTTAGCTCCATTAGATGATTTTGGACTTAGGAACGCGTCTAGAATGTGAGGCCCGTGGTAGAATTAGGCATGAATTGTCGAAAGTTGGAATTTTGGTGATTTTGGCCGGCAGTGAAAATTTTGATATCGGGGTCGGAATGGAATTCCGAAAGTTAGAGTAGGTTCGTGGTTCATTTTTGACTTGTGTGCTAAATTTGGGGTCATTCGGACGTGATTTGATAGGTTCCGGCGCCGTTTGTGAAATTTGAAAGTTTTGAAGTTCTTAGGCTTGAATCCGTTTTTGATGTTGTTTTGAGTGATTCGAAGGCTCGACTAAGTCTGAATGATATTATGGGATGTGATGGTATGTTTGGTTGAGGTCCCGAGGGCCACGGATGAGTTTTGGGTGGTTAATGAACTTGGTTTTGAGTTGGGGAAATAGCTGAAGTTTCTGGTTTCTACTCATCTGGTTTCCTTATACGCGATCGCGGGGTCAGGTCAGCGATCGCGTAGGCTAAGTTGGTCGTTGATGGAAATTTTCCCTACGAGTTCGCGAGTAGAGGAGCGCGATCGCGTAGCTTTGATGGGCAGTGATACGCAAACGCGTGGGCTATGCCGCGTTCGCGAAGAGGAAAAGGGGTAGGAACTGAGGTCAAGAGTTTTGTTCATCGCGAACGCGTGAGGCGGTTCGCGATCGCGTAGCTCAGCGGAGCGTAGCATCGCGTTCGCGTGGGAGATCCCGCATTCGCGTAGAGTTAGTTTGTGGGGCAGCATAACTTTGCTTCGCGATCGCGAGGATTGTTCCATGATCGCGATGAAGGTATATCTTGGCAGATTTAAAAGATTCAAAACGAGGGTTTCGAGTTCATATCATAATAATTGAAGTGGGAGCTCGGTAGAAGGCAATTTTTGAAGGGATTTTCAGAGAGGTGATTGGGGTAAGTATTCTTCACTTGATTGTGGTTAAATTCTATGATTGTATCTTGATTTTTATCATCTAAATTGGGAATTGGAGTGAAAATTGGGGGGGGGGGGGGGGATAGAAGAGTTCTTGAGAGAGTAATTTGGGGATATGAAGGACCAAATGAGGTCGGATTTTGATGAAATTGGTATGGGTAGACTCGTGAATGAATGAGCTTTTTAGTTTTGTGCTTTTTTGTCGGATTTCGAGACGTGGGCTCGGGGGCCGGGTTCGAGTGAATTTTGGGATTTGTGTCCAATTAAGTAGTTTTTTTGTGGAATTGGTTCCTTGCCCTATATTGATTGCATTGTATTGCTTTTGGCTAGATTCGAGACGTTT